AATCCACAGAATCTAGAAAAGCACAGTGAGCTGTGATGACACACCTGTCAGTGAACTGCAGTTTTTATGCTTCCTAGTTGGTGTGAAATTTCATCCACGTAGTTTGCAGCCCTCGTGCAAAACATCTGGTGATTGTATTGCATGATGGTGGAGAATAAAACACATTAAACCCCTTGCATATTGCTTTAGAAAACAAGTGCTGCATGCAGTTCAGGATAATAATCAAATAAACTGGACTTCCTTCAGAACAGGGCTGGGATTTTGTCTCAGACTGACTATAAGTTTGAACCGTGTCAGGCATTTTCGACTGGTTCATCAGATGTGGTAGATTATTCAGTAGAGAGATGACAAAAGGGCAACCCCCCCTCCCCCCGCACACACACACACACACACACACACACACACACACACACACACACACACATAATATGATTTAAAGTCTGATAACTTACAAGGTTTTTGTGGGTCACACGCAGGTCTGTGTTATGTTACTATATTGGAGCCAAAGCTGTGTCGTGTCCTGCTGATGTTGTATTTTAAACCCAACATTGGAAAATGCCAGTGCTGTTTTTCTCTTTCAGTTTCCATCCGGCCACACATAACCAGCACGTATTGACCCACCAGCTTCATTCATCAGGCTTGATTTATCAGATGCACGTCCAGCATTGATCTACTGACCCATTTTCCAGATTGACATGCCTGACAGCAGCTCTCCGCATCTTTTAGCATTTAGTGGGATTCGGCCTCTACTTCTGGATGAATAAAAAGCCTGACTTACATTTTTGAAAAGTTCAAATTCAGACAGTGGTGTGAATTTGTTTGTTGGTGACATGACAGGGACATTCCTGAGCAGACTTAGTCAGTGTCACTGACACCGCGCTGAGGTTGTGATGCCCGAGTTGCTCAGGATACCAGATAAGGTACGAGAGGCTGTGTGTCATGCTTGAGCGGGATTCTCCTGTCGACTAGCCTAGTTTCACAACTCTGTGGGTTATAGTCGGTGCCGCTCGCGTGTCTGTGTTTGTTGTTTGGGACACCACCCAGTTGTGAAAATGGGAAGAATGTGGTGACAATCTTTTATCTTTACTTCTCAGCAACTTTTATAATCTGATATCAGTTATCATAAACAAAAGCAAGTGTCTGGTTGACAGTATCTGACTCATCTGTCAAACAGCTGACATCAGGAGTATAGAACCAGCAGCATCCTGACTTGCACTTTATCAGAGGGGAGGATCAGCACACACTCTTCAAAACACAATGTGAACTAAAATCCCGCTTTGAGACGGAGGCTATATGTGATTAAACTGCAGTGTAACATGACAGCATACAGCTGATAATTACAAAGACCTGTGACTCTCAGAGTAACTCACTGCCAGACTTATAACGGCCTGCAGCAGAGTCTTTAATTATTGAAGATGTCGTCAAGGGGGCTTGAGAGGACCC